GACTTTTTGGGGATTTTTGGATGTCGGGGTGCATTTTTTTAATGAGTGGGTTCGGGGGGGATGAGTAACATTTAACTCAACATTCCTGTTTTCGTTCTTCAATGAAACAAATAATTGTTCAAGTAAAATAATTACAAACTTGTTCCTGTTCACTTTAAAAACATTTTTTTCTTTTTTTTAAACTGTTGAAATGTCATGTTTTTTTGTTTAATATTGCCAAGGAATATTTCCCAAAATCTCCAGCTTAAAGGTGGGGGTAGGTAAGTTTTCAGACCCGGCTCGAGATACACTTTTTGTTACTATTCCATGCGAATGCTCTAACCATCCGATAGCAATGAATATCTTAAGGCGCTTTGACAAAAAACTCCATTCAAACCAAACTGTCATCTGTGAACCCGTAATGACTGTAAAAACTACAACCAACTGCTAACGGATTGGGATTGCCCGCCTGTCTGTCAGCCGTTCCCATCTTCGTCGCACCGCACAATGTATCTTCGTGCCCTCATTTGGCATGCCCGCTCATTGGCGTGCATTGCAGCAGTACTTCAATACTCGCGGCCACTTTCACCATGGCAGAGTCTAGGTTCCAACACTCGTCTACCGGTCCGCAAAGAAAAATTTTAACGGAGCAACATTAAACCAAAAGAAAGTGGAAACTAGGAGAAGTCAAACCAGAGTCAATATCGGAGTTGCTCTTGGCTGTGTAGTATTCGCTAACCTAGATGTGTTTAGCTTTGCCTGATATGTAAACGTTACGTATGCCTGCTCTCGCGGAGGAGCGTGTCTGTAAGGAAGCTCCTGAAAAGGAAGGGCGGACTTATTTCTTGGCTCGTGTACTTTCCAAATTTAGTGCACTCGAGCCGGAAATTTACCGGAAACTTTCCTCCCCTTTGCAACCCTAGTTCTGATGAGATCCACCACCATTAACAAGCGGAACATCAGTGATTATGTGTTACAAATGGTGTTAGCAACCCACAGAAACATGAAACCAGTAAGCGACAAGACAGATGAGAATGCCTGCGTGGGTTCCTGGCTGCAGTGTTGGCGGGACGTTGCACGGGCTCCGCTGCTGTACCAAGGAGAGCACCATGGACGCGGGAAGGGGCCGGTGCCCGAGGGGGCTGTAGCACCCCCAGCCCCTGGCGAGACTCCACTATCACCCGCACTCCCCCACCCACCAAACGTGGGAGCACCTACAGTGTAAGCACTAGCCACAAGTTTTCGTCGCTGTGAGGCTCCACTTAGCAACCCCCCCCCCAGCACGTCACAGTTTTTGCCGGCTGAGAGAGTGTGTGTGGTGTGGAGTGAGCGGGGCTCCCGGACCCTATATCAGCCACCTCTCAGGCTGGAAACCACACGGATACCCAACAAACAGAACCCCACCCAACACGAGGGAACCACTGCCATACACATACACAAGCATCTACACACACGCTACACACCAACAGCAATGGCTACCCCACACCCACCAAACCACACCCACCCACATTCAGGACAGACGGAGAATTCTCATAACACAGACACAGACAACATAACATGCATCAAAAGCAAACACACACAAGGGGACACAGGTACAACCAGAAAAGCAATGCATGGGACCTTTAGTAAGTAACGATACCTGAAAAATCCTACTTACTTAAAGGTTGGGGTAGGGTAATTTTGGAGAAAACCAGCTCGACGAGTGCTAGAATTTTGAAAATAGATCAACAGCCGGAAAAAATCTGCCACTTCTTACAGAACCCTCCTCCCAAACACACACGAACGCGCACATGACCACATGAGGGCAACGAGATAAGTTGTGCACAGATGGAACCGGCTGACAGGCGGTAGGCCCTTCATCCCAGTTTTTATGCCGGGCCGGCTAAAAATGTTGGTCGTGCTTTTTACAGTACCTATGGCTTCCACAGATGACATTTTTGTATGGATTTTTTGTCAAAGCACTTAAGATATTCATTGCTATCAGGATGTTAAGGGCATTCCATGGAATATAACAAAAAGTGTATCTCGAGCCGGTTTCTCAAACTTACCTACCCCACCTTTAAGTACAGTAACAAAGTATTTCTCCCTCGTTACCACCTCTGCTTATAACACATACTTATCAGTTGCGAATATTCTCTACACTTGGGAAGAAAATGATTGAAGGGATTTCAAAAGCAATCAATGAAAGACCGATATTATTCATGCTATCAAAAAGCCAACTAAGGATTGTGTTAAAGCATTTTTGCAGATTTACATTGTGATCCAAAAAATAAGTTGGCACAGAGTTTGGCTTTAGAGCAAGCTCTGTTGTTTTGAAATTGTGTTACTAATATCATTAGTAAAGTAATCTAAATTTCCCCATATAAAGAAATGTAACCTGATTACTTTCCGCTTTTAGACCACTTTAAAATCAAATTAAATTAAATGAAATACAAGAGAAAGGAAATGTCAAGAGGATGTTTTTCTACCTAAGTGTTTTATGTATGACATAACGATGTAACTTAAGAAAAGAAGACACTATATTTTTTCAAAATTAAATTTGTGTTCTTACATTTAAAATCATAAAAAAAAAAAATGTAAACCACAAAGACAATTCAGTCAGTTCGTCCACCTATACTATTGATCTTTATTTTTTTAATATATTGTAACATTGTACTCCTGTGAGAAATCCAATTATTTTTAAACATACCAATCTGATTCTACGTTTGTTTATGTAACTGTAAGGGAATACAGTTATTTTTGTTTGCCTCCTAACTACGTAGTCCAGTGACATATAAACCCTTACTCTTCCCCCCCCCCCAGCCTGCATGTGCACAGCATAGAAACATAAATTGTGTAATGTTCTTTTCACATGTGACTGAAACGGGTATTACAAGAACCTTTACAAGCAAAGCAGTTCGTACTGTGCGGTGGATTAATGCACAATTCTGTCATCCATAAAGGATTTCACACTTTGTAAATACCTTCTCCTCCATTAAGTCCCTGCAGCCTTCTAAAGGCAGCAGGACAGATATCGTATTCATGTTCCATCTGCAGTCTCTAATTCGTAAGCACCATGCCATTATGCACAACAACCATGGGTACCATGATTAACTCAAGCACAACTAACACCAGACTGCTGTCAAACACACGCACACGCACACGCACACGCACACACACACACACACACACACACACACACACACACACACACACACACACACACACACACACACACACACACACAGGGCCTGATATTATGACAGTTTACGGCCTGCATTGCAATAATGTACTTGTTCACGTGTGATGTGATACTGCAGCAATTATGACAGCTACTAAATGACATTAGTATATTATAATTTATCTAAGTAGTAGTGGTTTAAGTTTTTAACATTTATATATCTGTGTATGGAAGAATCCAATATTGGCATTATTTTGTGTATCAGTTATTTCAATTAATAGAAGAAAAAAAACAAGTTAATATCAACCAGGTAAGCCTATTTTGCAGTATTTCTAATAAAACCACCCACCATGCTCGTTTAAGTCAATTGTAAACAAGGTTGGAGGGTGGAAGTTGGAGGAAGGGTGGTCAAAGAACGTTCTTCTGAAAATTGATCTTAACATTTGTCCCGCTTCCTGCAAATTCAGTCGATGTCCTGTATTTGATTGACAGGCCATTCTAAAACTTGCCTTGTATCCAATGGAAAGCAATGCAGAAAGCAAGAAAGCAATTTAGAAAGCAAGAACGTCTATCACCATTCACTGTGACAGATGTCAATCAATCAACACCATTTGGCTGGGGTCAAGAGCTTTGCCAACCTGTCACCATTCTGTTGCCTATGCTACATCCTACTGTCACAAATCAGCATAAGCTACTGGGTTGCACTTTTTAGCACAAAAAAGTCAACTTCAGTAAAAGAGTTGCAGCTCCAAAAAGTCTGGGAGATTGGGTATGGAGGAGACTCTGATTTGACGTGACGTACTACATGGGGGACCTAAACGGTTTTAATAGAAAATTGGATTTTTGTAAGTTTAAATGGAGATTGTATCAACATACGAGTACCTTTCAGCAACTAGCTTGTTGGCTTCAGTCACCCTTGACATACAACAAACATACAAGGATCTAAAAGAGACTAAAGAGAAAACCAGGACTTAAATATAAGTAGAACTAACAAGAAGATAAAGTGCAGGTGTGCAGAAGGTCATGTGTTTGCAGGGCTGATGGGGAACTTGTGAAAGTAATTAGGCCAGGACAAACAATCAAAAAAGGTTGGAAAACACACAAGGCAAGAAAAAGAACTCTTCACAATAAAACAGATCATGACTGAACAGTTCTGTTGATGAAGTCATGCATTAATTAAATGAAATGGTGGAAAATATGTTATGCAAAAATAAATTACTTTGTCTATTAGTAGGTTAAAGGTTCAATGATGAAAGTTATTCAACATTTTTCTTTGCCAACACAGCTATAAAAGGGTTAAGTGTAGCATCAGTATGGAGCCAGAGGCAGTATGTCCCAACCTCTATTCAACCCATCAACCCATCTCTGACGGCTTCATGCTCTCTGACTCTGGTTGCTGTTCAGAAATTTGATATCGGCCTAAAATAGATTTCTGTTCAGGCTAATGGTTTAGCTTCTGCAGGCGGTGTGTGTAAATGTGGATGTGTTATGTGCCTGTAAAACCAGATTCTCTCAAATGTTAGGATGTTTTTCAGCTTGCTCCCCTGTAATGACCGCTCACATAAAATATACTTGATGGCAAACATTGATTGCTAGATTTATCTCCAATTTTCTGTGATTTTCATCTATCTAGCATTCATTTTTTTGATCCAAATGTATGTAAGTCTGCAGTATAAACACAACATACTTGTGTGTATGTGCGACAGTCTCCTTTCTGGGTGCCTGTCGCCACATGGACAAACCAATCAATGCTAGACCTCCCATGAGTCTGAATCCAGTCAAGCTGTCACCAGTAGGTCTGGGGGGTGTCACCTACTGAAGAACATCTTCATAATGCAGCCATACTTTGACATTGGGGGTCAAAAGAGGACCATGATTAAGCCAATACCAGTTCATCAGGAAGTATATTGATCGATTGGTGGGCCGGGACGGTGATGCTGGGAATACACATGCTTGTCAGTTTAAAGTATATTCCCTTCTCTGACAAATGAGGACACACACACACACACACACACACACACACACACACACACACACACACACACACACACACACACACACACACACACACACACACACACACACACACACGCACCATAAAGTCTTAATACACAATGCCACCACACACAGGTGAAAGTTGTACTTGCTTTCCTGCGTGCCCCTACCTGCGTGTTTGAGTCTTGAGAGGGATTCTTTAATGAGGGAGCGGTGCAGGCGCTCATGAAATCATTTAAATTTCAAATGCATGAGGTGATTATGCCAGTGAATTAGCCCAGTGACTTATTGTGGAATAATTTAGCTCAGTGAGGCAGAATGGAGACAGCTAATGTCTACGGAGAGCTCGCAGCAGACACAGGGTAGGATGGGGCTCAGTGGGTTCATGGGTGTGAGGTGAAAAATGGAGACTGGAAAGGAGGAAGAGATGGAAAGGGAAAGAACAACAGAGGGGGGTATTTTCTACATGAACCACACAAAGGACGTGGACAGATGAAGAAAGGGAAAGAAAGGAAAGGGAGAAGAGAGAATGGATGTGAGAGCGAGAAGGGATGGAAGAGGGAAGAGATGAACAGGAGAAGAGGGGGAAATCAATGGAGAGGAGGAATGGAGGTGGTAATTGCCTGACAGACATGAATGGATAGAAGAAGGGAAGAGGGCGAGGATGCAGTTGCAGAAAGGCAGCAGGGCGGGAGGAGAGACGGAATGGAGGTTCATGTTTCTTGTGGGATTCTTAGACATTCATAGACTGAAGTAAAATGGGAGGCAGGAAAACAGGGAGGAATAATGTGAGGAATGCTGTCAGCTGATACAATACAAAGTGGGAAAGGGAAAACTGGAAGTTGCATTAGTCAGCTTTTGGGCTTCAGGGGGCAGAATAGCATCAAAACAAGATAAAGAATAGCAGCCACTACATTATCAACAGCTAACCAACTCACATGTATATTCAAAATTGTAATATTCGATCACATTTAAATTAGAATTTGGACTCCATTGTCAAGAAAAGTGCAAAAATATAGGCATTTAGCTGATAATGATAGCCAGCAACTTGCTAACTGCCTCATTTGATT